GTCACCCATTCAATGACCTTGCTTCTAGACATGAATCCGTTATGGTTGAAGACCGCTCGGAAGAGGCCCACCTCGGTGAGGAGGAGGTGGACTATTCGGATTTAGAAGCCGAGCATGTGTCCCCGGACCCGCTCCTCCTCTTTTGGTTTTAGGGGAAGCTACGACACTTGCCAAATCGCTATCGCCACCCAGCTGCATTGCCATCCTCCACGACGCCCCGACCCCGATTTCCTTACGGATGTCAAGTCGACCCCTTCTCCAATGCCGATTCATGATAGCGAGCTCTGCATGGGCCTCCATCTTGTGATGAATCCATAACGAGAGCAGCCGAGTCAAGTCCTTCCTCGGAAGGCAAGTGGTGGGATTTGTTTGTAAGTAATCATAATTCAGACTTATGCCCTAAACTCGTCACACTTTTCAACTATCACCGAATCCAAACAATGTACTTTGCAAACTGCCGATACCAAATATGAGTTATGGAAATTTTGCCTTGTGGGATATGTTGCTTGGTAAGTATCCAGGATTTAAAGCCCTCAATGGAATCATCAAGGATACTTGGCATTGTGAGGCTTCTTTAACAATACATAAATCTGGTCGGCTTATTTATAAATTCAAACAAGAGGAAGATAAGGTTTTAGTTCTTAATAGGGGATCGTATTTGATTTATGGGCGAGCTTTGATTTTGCGATCAATGTTGAAATACTTTGATTTTTCCACCTCCAAGATGGCTACTCGTCCCTGTTTGGGTCAAGCTCCCCAATCTGTCACTCAAATGTTGGTCCATTATGTGTTTGTTAAAGATTGCTAGTTTGTTGGGAAAACCTCTCCAATGCGACCGTTTGATCGCTTCAATGGATAGACTATCCTATGCTCGAGTCCTTGTGGAACCGAATATTATGGAAAATCTCCCCGGATGGTCGGCATCTTATTACTAAATAATACCACCCTTTTGCAACCAATTGTTTATGAGACTCTCCCCATTCATTGCAAAAATTGTTGTATACTTGGGCATTCCACAACTGCATGTAAAAATCAAGCCTCTATGGAATTGAGTAAGGAAACCACCAATGGCGGTGAAGGCTGCTGGTGGGCGAGCCGAAACAAGTGTTTTCCAACGATTGGGTGATTCCGCAAGGTGCGCCCGGCCACGATCCACGCACCTACCGACCCCATGCTATTGGAAGCTATTGATTAGGAGACGAGTAAAGTGCAAAACACACTCTCGCGGAGCTATCGATAAAGGTAAACATGTTATGGTTGATTCTACCACGAGTCCAGCGTCCCCTTCTAACACTGAGCTGATTGAGGTTCGGCTTGGGGTGGAAGGTTACGAGCAACGGGGACACGGGTGGGTTGAGAAGCCAAATTATTGAGCAAGCCAAATTGCGGGGCCATCATGCTGGGGGCGAGTCGGTTCAAGGTACTCGTAGGAATGGCTCTCCCGATAGAAAAGATAATGGCAAGTCGGGGCCTCCCATCACGGGGGTTGTTCTTGACAAGGAAGGTGAATGCCTTAATGTTCCGGCTTCCCTTGGGGACACCAATTTGGATCCCTTTATCGGACAAGAAGAGCGGATCGCTAGAGCCACTTCGCCTAGGCGGTCGCCGGTAGAGTGGTACAAAAGGGTAGAAGCGGGGGTCGAAGGGGCTCGGCCTCTTCCGCTCGTCCATGATTATATTTAGGTGGAGTATCGAGAGGACTTAATAGTCCTTTAAAACGAGCATGAGGTAGTGCATCTCATAAAGAAAAAGAAGGTTGATATGTACGCCTTCGTTGAAACAAAACTTAGTTCTGCTAAGCTTGTCAATATGCATCGGCTTAGACTCGAAGCAATGGAGCTTTATGTCCAATGCTACGGTAATAGGAAATGCTCGCATTGCACTTTTCCGGAATCCAAGCACCATAACGAGTTAATATGTTAAATGTCTCTATTCAAGGTCTAAATGTTAGGATCACTAACCTTGTACAATGAGCTATCTTTTAATGCCACTTTTATCTACGGGTTACACAACATCACCTTGTAGAAGAGGGTTGTGGGTCGATCTTCGTCGATGGCAGTTGAATTGCCCTTGGCTTATTTTGGGGGACTTTAACTCGATTCTTTCGCATGCTAATAAACATAAGGGTGATGCTTGTCTCCAACTACGAGATCGTCGATTTTAGAAGTTGTTGCTCGGATCTTGGGCTAATGGACCTTAATTACACGGGGAGCCATTTTACTTGGAATGGGGCGGATGTTTGGACTAAAATCGATAGAGTTCGGCTAACCCTTTTTGGTCCTCCACCGAGCGACTTGCTCATGTTCATTTTGGCTCTCCGAGTGCTTTTTTAGATCATTCTCCGGTTATGGTAGACTTAGGCTCCCATGTTCATTCCGAAACTCGAAGCTTCAAATTCTTCAATATGTGGGTTGCCCACGTTGATTTTACGAGAGCTGTGGCCGATTGTTGGGAAGCTAGAATCGGTGGCACCCCAATGTATGTCCTTTGTCACAAATTGAAATCTCTCAAGGAACCACTCAAGAAGCTGAACACACTCCATTTCAGCCATATCTCCCAAAGGGTGGTCGAGGTCGAATCGACTTGGCTGCACTACGGATCGAGCTTCACTCGGATAGAGATAATTTGGAGCTTTTTCAAAATGAAAAGAGGCTACGGCTCCATCCGGTTAATCTCAAAGCCTCGAAAAAGATGTTTTTTGGTCAGAAATTAAAGTGCAAGTTCCTTAAGGATTATGACAAAGGCACTAGTTTCTTTCATCGCCTTATGAATCGAAGCATAAAGCCAACCATATTGCTTGCACTTAAACACGGAGATGGGTAGCTCACTACCTCTATTACGAAGTAGGAGAGGAGTTTGTTTCCTATTACAAAACCTCTTAGGTACCATTAAAGCTACGGTGCCCCTCGACCCGCACATTGTTGCTAGTGGGCCTCGATTACAAATGGCCGGCCATGACTAGCTTCTCTCCCCGATCACGATGGATTTCATCCGGAAGACATTGTTCGAGCATAGACAATGATAAAGCACCGAGCCACGATGGGTACTCTTCCTTCTTCTTCAAACGAGGCTTGGGGATATTATTGGGAGAGACTTTTGTGCGGCGGTTAAAGAGTTTTTTGTACCTCGAAGCTCTCGAAATAGGTTAGCCACTCTATTATAGCTTTAGTCCCCAAAATGGCCAATGCTACCTTGCCAAGTGACTACGGACCAATCTCCTGCTGTAATGTAGTTTATAAGGTGATTACCAAGATCATTTCCTCTCGGCTATCCTCGGCTCCGATGGATATAGTTAGTCCTATGCGGAATGCCTACTTGGGGGTCGAAAAATGTCGGATAATATTTGCTTGGTTCAAGAGTTGCTTCGACTGTATAGACGAAAGCGACTTCTCCAAGGTGCTTAATGAAGATTGATTTACGTAAGGCCTTTGACTCTATGCAATAGGGTTTCCTAAAACGACTTCTATTACAATTGGGCTTCCCAGAAGATTTGTTGGTTAGATTATGACATGTGTAGAATCGGCTTCCTACTCCATTTTAATCAACGGGGGCCTGTTTGGGTTCTTCCTTGGAAAAGCAAGTGTTAGGCAAGGTCACCTTCTCTATCCCTACCTATTTGTGGTACTGCATGGAATACTTCTCTCGCTTACTGCAGGTTGCGGCAAGAAATTATGACTTTCGCTTCCACCCCTAATGTGGGATCCATGCTATCACCCACCTAGCCTTTACGGATGATGTCTTATTGCTTAATTGTGGAGATGCTACCTCTATCGGGATTCCGTCTAGCTAGCTATCTATCTTTGGTAGTGTATCCGACCTAGCCATCAATGTGGCCAAGTCCTTGATCTTCTTCGGTGGGGTGGGAAGTGACTTGAAAAACTCCATCCTCCAAGAAACTAGGTTACGTGAGAGCTCTTTCCCCTTCAAATACCTAGGGGTCCCTCTAAGCCCTCATTACTTGCTTGCTAGTCGGTTTGCCCCTTTGCTAAACAATCTTGAATCTGCGATTCAAAGCTGGATGGGAAAACATCTATCCTATGCGAGTAGGCTCGAGCTTCTCGGATCCGTCCTCTTTAGCATGATACAATTGTAGCTTGCTATCTTTCCTATGCCTCGTTGTGTTTATTACATGTATCACCGGTATGTGTTAGAATTTTTTATGGATGAGAGATGTCGGTAGGAGCTTTTCGACTTTGGTGGCTTGGAAAAGCCTCTGTTCCCCTAAATCGGAAGGTGGCCTAGGAGTCTTCGACATCAAAGCAAAAAATCAAAGTTTTCCGGCTAAAAGGCTATGGGACATACACCTCAAGGCTGACTCCATTTAGATTCACTGGGTCCATCACTTTTACTTGCAAGATAGCCGAGTGTGGGACGTTGCCGCCCATCGCAATGCTTCGTCGTTGTGGAAAGCTATTCTCGATTTGAAAGACTTGCTTGTTGTGAAATATGAGAGTAAAGATGCGGCTATACGTGAGCTTGCTTGGTGAAACTCCATAGAGGGAAGTTTCTCTAATATTGCATATACACGGCTTAGGCCAATAGGGGAACTAGTGTTCGGGGTAGGGTGATTTGGGAGTCATGATCCATGCCACGACATTCCTTTATTCTATGGCTTCGTTGCTAGGGGTGCCTTAAAAACTAAGAACCGTCTTCGTTTTCTACCTACTAGTGATGCATGTCTTCTTTGTGATCAAGCTACCGAGTCATATAACCATTTGTTCTTCTCCTGCCCTTGGATCGCTAACCTCCGGTTGAATATTAAGCGAGTGGTTGCATATTCACGAGAGGTATACGGACGCTCACTAGTGCTATCAAAGGCCTCTCCTATCGTTGTAACAATCTTGAAGCAAAAATGAGGAGAGTGGCCCTTAGTATCACGGTTTATGTCATATGGGAAGAAAGAAACGAGCGCACCTTTGATGGGTCGGCTAGCTTGGTGGACAATGTGTTTCGTAAATTTTAGATTATTTTCTAAATGGTATTCTATTTTCATGCATCAG